AACAAATTAGCAGGATCCCAAATGTTAAGATGATAGAGCTTATATTTTGTTAAGTTTACATATTACATTCAAGGTGACAGATTGGATAAAAAATTTCAGTAGAGAACTGGAAATGATTTAAAAAGTAGTGGAGAAAAGTACACCAAATTTGAAAAAAAATGCAAATTGTAAATCTGAAAAATACAACTAAAATTAGTATCTTGATGGACAGCATTTCACAGCCGATTTGGACTGGGCAATGAGGACTGGTTAACAGAAAGAGAGATGAAAAGAATCTAACTCAGATTAAAGCTCACAAAAACAAATAAAAATGGAAAACATAAGAAGAGACATAAAGAACAAGGGAAGAAAATCTAGCATTTGGATACCGAAAGAATGGGTCAGACAAAAATATTTGAAGAAATGATGAAAAACTTTCCAAAACTGACAAATGATTATCAAATCACAGATCAAAACAGTCAAACAAAACTTAAGAGGACAAGTAATTAAAAAAAAATCTACACTTAGTCACACCATAGTAAAACCACTGAAAATCAAAAACAAAAAAATATTAAAAGTAGCCAAACCTTTCCCACTAAACCCTGCTTTACCCTCATAGGAATAAAAACTAGACTGGATTGCTAACATTATCAGAGTAGATAATGAAATATTCTTCAGAGAATTCAAAAAAGAAAAGCAATCTAACAACCAGAATTCCATACTTAGCAAAAATATAAATGACAGTAAGCCCCTAATGAAATATATCTAGGTGATGACCTTCACTTCCTACTCACCTCACAAAACAGCTATAACATGAAACCAGTGGATGTTGTAATGATTCCATCACTGGACTCTCATGTAGTCAACCATGGTTCGAGAACCAGACCTGGTGGTATAAAACACACGTCCAGCTTGTGTGCATGTGTGCCCAAAATCACAAGAAGAGAATGGAGGAGGATAGGGGACTGAAGTGTGGCCATCCTCCCCGCCCCCGGGGGGGCGTCTTTCTCACTTTTTGTCTCTTTCTGTCTCTCCAGCAAGCACATGGGCCCCATAGCAAAATATCTTAAAACAAACAAACAAACAAAAACTGTAACTGCATTATTACATGCCTTCAATGGAAATTATACAGCAGCACCTATGAAACACCTTTTTCAAAATATTAAATAAAGTTTGATCAAGTTGTTAGATTTCAATGACAATTTACTGCAAGTACAGGCATAAAGGAAAAGGTTAAATAAAACTACAGATATACACTTAACATATTCCAGAATGTGGAATCCTATGTAGAATTAATAATCTTTGTCAGTAACATAAAGGAGGAGGTCTGGGAGGAGAACTATAGATTAAGAGATTCACAAAACAATATCAACCAAATGCAATGTATAGATCTTGCTAGAATTCTATTAGAAGAAATCTATGTCTGTGAGCGTTGTACACATGCATACACATGTGAATGATTGAATGTGAATAGATACTTGGTGATATTAAAGAATTCATGCCACATTTTTAGATAGGATGCCACATTGTAGATATGTATTTTATAAAACCCTTATCGTCTACAGATTATCTCTGAAATACTGATGAATGAAATGTAATTGTTTTGAATCTGACAGTTATCATAACAATTTGGTAGTAAGATAGATTGAACAAGAGCGGCCATGATTTGATAACCATTGAAATTGGGTGATGGTTACATCAAAGTTCATTATAGTGCCTTTATATATTTTTTAATATATCTGTAAGTGTCCATAATAAAAGATTGAGTTTTGATTTTTTTTTTTAATTTACTAAAGGGAAGATACATTCACTAGAGAAAGAAAGAGACAAAAGAGAAAGAGAGAGGAAAAGTAAGAAAACATCTCCCATGGGGAATGGTCATACAATAATCCCTTCTCTTCCATTTCTCACTCCTTTTGGGACTTTAAGTATGCATGCACATGTGCCCAGTGTTTTTCTAAAGCTGCTGGGTCCGAGACTCGAACTGCACAACTGGCCTGTAGTATCCAGTTCCCATAACCACCAAGCCATAAGCTGGCTCAAAAGTTTTTTAAATGAAGGCAAAGATATGATCAGACTAACAAAAATTGAAAATTTACCACCAGCAAATATACATAAGGGGAACATTAAGATTTTTTTTCTGTTTTTCTTATAATTATTTTATTTTTATTTATCATAATTATTATTTTTAATTTGCTGCAGGGCACGCGTGCTTGACAGAGAGTAAGTGAGTGAGTGAGTGAGAAAGCAAGCTGCCAGGTCCAGACCTTGAATAACAGTAGGAGTCCAGCACCTTAACCACCATGCCACCTGCTGGCCCCTATTAAGAGGTTTTTAAAGTAGAAGAAAAATGATCGAAGGTAGAATATAAACAAAAAGCAAATAATTTTACTATAGGGTATGTGTGCTCACCTAAGAGAGAAAAAAAGAGGGAAAGAAAAGGTGGACAGGGAATGAGAAATTACCTCACCCCCAAGGAGGACAGCCATACCAAAATCCCTTCTCCTCCATTCTCCTCTTGGGATTCTGGCCATACACACACACACACACGTGTGCGTTTTTTTCAAGCCGCCGGGTCCAGGATTCAAACTGTACTGTCAGCCATGTGGAATTCAACTGCCTCAATCACCATTCACTGATTGGCCCCAAAATAAGTAACTTTAATAAGTAAAATACAAGAAATACTAATTCAAAATAAAAACATTGTTTGAACACACTAAATGGATTAGTATTAGCATGTTTAAATCATACTACTCTGTTAAAGAAAAACATGTAAAATTATTTCAATTTAAAGATTTAAAATCTTTAGAGATACATATTCAAGCATCTATAGATGTAATAATATAATGCCAGAGAACTGCATTAAACAAGACTGGTAAAATGCTAAGAAGTGTTGAA